GTGACCATTAAATTTAATGTTCCATAATATATGAGATAATCCTTCCCACTGATTCATATTTTTCAAGACGGGTAAAACCGCAAGCCAGATATATATATATATTATATATAATATGTTTTAATCCCATCATATAACCATATATAACCACTATTATTGGTATTTTAGCCTACTAGATATCATGGAATATGAATGGTATATTCATGTGGTGCCAATGCTATATTTCGTGGTTGAGTAAAGTTTCCGATGTGCAGGCCATGCTGGAAAATGAACATCAATGTACCGACCAACTGTTGATGTTGACCAGGGCACCAATGTTGTGACCCATAGCCATAGCCAAATTGGGTTTTCTTTAGTCCGCAAAACTGGCAAAAATCAGGATTTAACCATGAAACAATGGGAAGATCATGGAAACTGAAGATGTGACCTACCAATCATGGGGGAATTTTTCAAGACCGAAAAGTTGGATTTAGCTACCCGAAAAACCTGGCTTTGACTGAAAGTGGGGTGTCCCCAATTCCAAAGGTTACGTTTAACGTGGCAAAGTTCTGGAACTCCCAATTTGCTTCATGGGTTTGTCAAGATAGATGGGCTTTAACCCCCATTGAACATCATTAACAACTAAACCACTCCCAAGTGCCTGGGAGTGGGTGATTTCACGACATTTCACGACCTACAATTCCTGCTTTCCCCATGACACCCAGTTCGTTGGCAACAAATATCCCAGTGACCGCAACAATTCCACCGGTAAATCCCCCGTGACCGTTGATTGGTTCCCTGTGTTCCATGTTGAAACTCATGCTGGGTCCGCCCAAATCCACCACCTTGGGGCCCTGTGAAACCGCCAGAACTTCCTCAACGGAGCGCCGATGCCCGGAAGCTCCTGGGCAGATGAAGAGGAAGAGAAGGACCAGGCGGCGAGCTGGGGAATGCACAGCAGAAAGGGGGATTTCATCGTCCAAAATCGGGGGGAAGCTAAGCAAAAAATGTGAAAAAAAGCAAGAAACATGTGGTTGTTTTTGGATGATTCTGGTAAATGGCATTGATTTAAAAAGGAAATACAAAGAGAAAAACTTAGGGCTTACGGGCAAGGATTGAGGGAGTTAAGGCGCGAAATTCTGCAGATTAAATGGAGGTTCCCGAATCATCCAATTTAGGAATTTCGGACTTTCCACTAACCATCCCTTTTGGGTAGCCCCATGACTATAGAAACCTCCAAATGTTTCCCAAAGGAAGCCGGCTTGGTTGAGCTTGACCTGGGAACGGGTTCATTTCTAGGGGAAGCCCCATGTCGTGGAGCGGCAGTTGGCGACTTGCTGGCGAATGATCAGTATCATTCCAGCAAAACCTCCTTGGATTATCTTGGATTCCTCAATTCTTGGGGATAAGCTGTTGATACCCATCCCATCAGACTTTTGTTATATTCCATGGGATGGGTATCAGTATCTTAAGTTATTTAGTTATTTACTAACATAGCTTATTTACGATCTCAATTTATATCCCATCAGACTTTGGTTATATGCCATTAAATTGTTAGTAAAAAAAGGCTGAAGTTTGCCCGCACCGCCAGGATGAACAACCAGATCCAGATCCTTTAGCCCCTCCCAAAGCCAGGCGCGGCTGGTGGCGGTTGGGTAACAACGGATTTCATCAAACATGGGGAGTTCTCCCGTTAAATTTCTTGTTCAAAGGTGTACAAAACCATTAAAAAACGGGGTTCAACAGAGGAAGTATGGGCTGAACCACTTGGTAAGTGGCGAAACCCGGCTAAACCGTGCTTGTAATGATTTGACCTTGAAACATGGTGATTGAACCAGAAATATCGGGCATTAGCAATGCAATTAGCTGTCCACAGGAGGTTTTCTTCATGTTCACGAAAAAACAATCCAAATTAGTTTTCATGAACCATTTTTTTCGGACATCCAAAACAAAATTGAACCAATAAGCCATGGGTAGCCCCTATTTAAAAAAAACAGAAATTGGTGGATAAATTGCGATACCTGAAGTAGTACATTGCCATGGCAGTGGGAAATCCCATTGCCATGGCTGTCATGGATGACCCAAGGTCCATGACTTTTTTACTGGGAGCAATTGCGACTGTTTCTGGGCAAATGTTGGCAGATTTGGTTAGATGCCACCCGAAAATAAGATAGAAAGTTGCTGCTTAAACCGTGTTAAACACATTTGTTTGTTGGTTGTCTTCCACTTAGTGACAGCCGTAATAAACCAAAAAAACAGAAAAGAAATAGTGATAAAGTAGGGATTTCTGTTTCTTGTGTGCGCTAAGAAGGCAATAAAGTATTAAAGTAGGGGAATCACTCCTGGTCATCCTCTATAATCTATCATCTTACTAGACCGGCTCTTCTCAGAAATCTATCAGCTATTCGTGGATATTAGTGGCTCACTAAATTTTAAAATCCGCTACTGTCACTGCGCTATCATCTCACCAATATATTCAATAGTTCATTATGATTCATTATGATTTACTTTAAATCGTACTGTG